TTCAACTGGCGGTGGAGTTTTAACCTTCAGCGCCTCTCGAATTCGTCGTCTTTCCTCCCGCTCTGCGCGTCGTTCTTGTTGCGCCTCTCTTAGTACACGAGTTCTTTCTTTGCGTTCATCCAATATATCCTGATGGAAGCGTTTCCATGCATCTTCTTCTTCATCATCAGTTTCTTGATTTGCTTTCTGTACTCTTTCTGAGTTCAAATATAATTCGGAGAAATCTGTATTATGTTTGACTGCGCTATGTGCATTTTTTCCCTCCTCCAATTCTTCCTCTTCCTCTTCGCCCATATTGTCCAGTGATGCCTCTGTAGAGATAGGCGTTACTGTTATCGATTCAACATCCGTGGAATCGCTCTCTGTTTCATCAGATTCGTCTAAATGTATACGATCTCTGAAGTAACGCTCCGACATCGATTGCAGCTTTCGTATATGCATTTCACTAACATAATCTTTGATTTTCATAGCTAGGGGTCGCATTTCATCATCGGGCCAATATTCGGCTGGACAGGCTTCAACTAACTCCACAAATTTCATTGACAATCCAAGACTACGCCAGTCATATTCATGCTCCTTCTTAAAAGCTAAAGTACCGTCCTTATTCTTGGCCAATACAAAACGACGCCAATATTTCTCGTCCGTGATGTGGTAACATTCATCCAATGGTAGATCCAAACTCAGTGCATCATAGTACAAACGTAGCTTCAATGGATCTTCGACCATGGACGGCATTTGCTCCGGTGTGAATGTTGAAGCTAAGACGCGTGTACAAAGGTCTCTCAATGGTCCTAACTTGATGTTCTCGATGAAAATCTCTGCGTATAAACTACGATTCCGCTCTGATCTCAATTTACGAGTTTCTAATGCGGGTTGATATACATCATATGCCATTAAAAGGTCATGCTCTTGTGGTATGCCCATTGTATTCATGCGTATAGGGTGAAAGTAATCAATCTGTTTTTCCAGCTCTTCCTCCTCCATTTTCGTGTAATTTTTTAGAAATCTTTCGTTATCAATCAAAGTAAAGTTATATTTTTATTATTTACAAAATATGTGCGTGTTTTACTAGTTGCGTAATTTTGTTCTACATATTTTTCGAAAATAAAATTATTTAATGATTTCTTAAGTTTAAAAGTGTTGTCAGTGCGTTTCAATTAAAATTCAACAGAAACTCATCGTCAGCGTTTGCAGTTTACAAAGAGCTGTCGACGACCATGTACTCAAAGAAAGACCAAAGATAGCTGACTTCACGGTTCTATTCAAAAATCAGTTCAAGTCCCGAACTAAAAAATAAAAATTTGCCGCTGTTGTTCTTACAAAAAACTTTATATCTTCTTCATAATTGGCGCTGTAACCGCCTAAACGATTTCGGCCGAGTCCCAAACAGCACGACAGTCATTTCTCTTCTGTACCAACTGACGCCAATTGGAAATGCCTTCCCTACCTCTTCCTCAGTTACCAGCATCACGATCCGCATTGAAGCTTTCAGAGCTGGAGCGTTTTTATCCATACGTAGCCGCTGTATTTGAATTCGCTGCACTATGTCTATATCATTGTAAAACTCATACAGCTCATCGTTAAATCGTAAAGCGGTATTCGCCGTCGCCAATGCTCAAAGAGCCGAAAATCCTTCGCATAATCTTTCTCTCGATACCACCACGGGAAAATGGCGAAAGCTTTTGACTGCCATTCACCTAGGAGCGGCCAGAAGTGATTCATTTGCGTACGATTTAATCGCAGCTCACGACATCCTGATATTTATATCCACGTATCCTCTGGGTAGCGACTAAACACCCGTTTGAGTCCCGTCACGTTAAATCCCCTCGGTCAATGAGAACCCAAAGTTTTACTTGCCAATGATAAATACACTCAGTGTTTTTTCCTTGTCTGCCGAGGGACTAGAGAAACACTTTTTTTGCTATTTTTCGGACCAGCTTCGTATCTGAGTCCTATCGAATCATAGCAATCACCTCCAACAACCCAACTAACCAATATAGCAATGTGAAAAAATGATCAGCCGCAATTGTTTGGCTATCCCTTGGCTTTGAAATAGGGTTCGGTTAGTTGACTAATCGATTGGTCTAATAGCAAAAGTTTTTTAAAAAAAAACAATCAACTACACTTATTCGGCTAACCGTTTCCTTTCGGCTTTTTTAATTAAACGCTCACCAACAACTAGTAGAATATCCGTTCATT